ATGGGACTTGCTCCTCACCAGGGAAGGGAAGGTCTCTGACCATCAAGACCTTCACTGTCCGTGGTCCCCACTCCCTGTACTTTTCTGTAGGTCCCTATCAGACCCTCTTCCTCTCTACGGCCACCTCTTGTGGCCATCTCCCACCCAGGGGCTTGCAGGGTGTCCCAAGGCTCCTTGAGCTATGATTGTTCCATATTTTCAAGCCCAGAATAGTTCAGTCTCAAGCAATAGGCCCTTTCTCAAGATAGTTCCTTGTGATAGTTCTCTAAAATAATGGAAGCAAGAGACTGTCTTCCTTCACCAAAGCTAACTTTCCATACCGGGGAAGTCACTGTCTCACCAAATCCTGCACAGGGTTTAAGATTTTCAGGAAGTGTGATATTATCCTGCAACTACAGTTGCCGGTCTGTTATCATGGCCATCTGGCTTGAGTGCATCTTCAGTTTATCCCCAGGGAACTGGGGACAGGACTTGAGATTGTTTTCTGCTTTTCTCTGTCACCTTTATGTTTCTTGCTTTTCACCTGTCCTGAAACCTGTCATGGTTCCTGATGCTCTTCCTTTCTTCCTCTCTTTTTTCAGAATTAGTCTCTCCTTTGCTACCTGATTCTTCATCCACAGAGTCAAGATGAAGTATGCTTCTAATCTACCATCTTGCCCCACCCTCTCTGAATAATCTTTTGAGTGTATTGCTGGATTCTGTTTGCTAGGATTTTGTTGAGGACTTTTGTGTCTATGCTCATCATAGTGGCTGTAGATTTTTCTTTTTGTGCTCTTATTTGTTGTTTTTGGTATAATGCTGGTCTCATAGAATGTGTTTGGAGAATTTCTTCCCTTTTACATTTTTTTGGAATAAGTTTGGGGGAATTGGTATTAATTCTTCTTTAAATATTTTATAGATTTTAGCTTTAGATTTATGCTTTTTTAAAAAACTGATATTTCATTATTTGTTAATGATCTATTTAGGTTTTCAATTTCTTTATAACTCATTTTTGATAAGGTGTGTGTGTCTTAGAATTTGTCCTTTTCTATGAAATTTGTTTGCACATAGTTTTCATAATAATGTATAATGATCATTTATATTTACTCTTGTGGCCTCTTTGTGCATACCATGGGCAGAAAAAATCAGGGATTTCTACCCCTGGCTCTTGTATTGGCAGTATTGTCTACCTGGGAGTGAACAGGAGAGGAAGGTGTTGCTCTTGACCCCCACTTGCTGTGTACAGCTGGGTAGGGTGATGGCTGGAGTCCTAGAATTGCTCAAAGTCCTTCAGCATGCCACTGTGGGTGGGGCAGGAGCTTGCAACCCATGTTGGGGTCCAGCACAGGAGGAAGTGGTGAGGGAAACTGGCAGCCCACACATGACTGATGGGTGCCCTTGGTCTCAGACTGCAAGTGACTCTATCTCCTGGTTCCCGAGGGTGGCCCTCTCCATTCTCCTCCATGTTGCAACAACTGTCTCCTACAGCGCAGGGCATCCAGCAGGCTTACGTCACAGTCACTCTGCTGGGCAGTTATCCTATGCCAGTGCAATGGAATGTCTGGAATCCTAGAGGTGGGACTAGGCAGGGATTTCTGACTCCTAGAGCAGTGCAAACTCAGACAATAGCTCACTTCTCGAGGTGGCTCCTGGCTACTACTGGGGGCTCACTGGGAGATGATGTGAGATCTTTTTCCAAAGCCAGGCTGTGGTATAGGTCTCAGGTTATTTTTCTAAATGGGCCTGTGAGGGTTGTGAAACTTTCCAAAAGCTGGGATTGCCAGCATCCACACTGATAGACTTTGTTGGGGCTTTCCTTCAACCTTAACCCTACGAAGGGCAGACTCCCCTTCCCCTAGCTGTGGAACAGGATGGTTGTGGTTGGGGTGTTTTGTTTCTCTGTTGTTTTCTTGAGTCTCTGAATCTCATGAGGTTCTAATCTCTTGTTTGCTTCCAGTGTTCTCCATAGTCACTCACCCCAAATGCAGCCATATATTTGTTACTCTGGTTCATCTTTGTGGAGAGCGATTTGAGCGTTGGGCACCTCTATTTTTCCATCTTGGATCTCCCCCCAAAGAGGCTGGACTATTCCAGTCCCTGATATCTTGTCTCCGCAAGGTAGTGCATGTAACACTCCTTCATCTGACGACTTCTTGCACTATTGACTCAAATGACATGTTCATGAAGTTCATGCTGTATGTTCATCAGAATTCTGACAATATGCATTTCTGCTGGCATGGTGACGTTAAGATCGACCAGAATAAAGCATATGTTAGGGTCTGAAGTTTGTGTCTTTATGTGTGAAGATGCTAAAGCTACATTATGACATTCTCAAGTCATATAAACATTTTTTAGAGAAATATGAATGGTGAAGTTGTGCAAAAGAACTTTGAACCTGGCATCAGTGGCTCACTCTTGTAATCCTAGCTACTCGAGACAGAGATCAGGAGGATCTCAGTTCGAAGCCAGCCCAGGGAAACAGTTCATGAGACCCTATCTCACAAATACCCAACACAAAAAAGGGCTGGTGGGGTAGCGCAAGTGGTAGAGTGTCTGCCTAGCAAGCGTGAGGCCTTGAATTCAAAGTACCAGCAATTATTAAGAAAAGAAAAAAAACTTTGATATACTCAAGGGTTTGGTTTGCTGGCTGTGTATTCAGTGCTCATGTCAACTAACATGGGAGATTTCAGGAGTGGAAGTTCAAACTACAGAGGTTTAAATCAGATAGCCTGTCTTAGGTTTTTTTGGAGAAATATTTAATTTTATGACAAAATAATAAAATGTAAAATGCTATAGTATTTGAAGATACAGAGACCAGTTCCATGGGTGGAAAGAAGAGTCCTGGATTTTACTGGAGCATGGGTGTTTTTAACCATTTCACTTATTTAAAAAAAATTTTATTGGTGGTACTGGGGTTTGAATTGTGCTTGCTAAGCAGGTGCTCTACCACTTGAGCCATGCCCTTGGTTCTTTTTGCTTTAGTTGTTTTTCAGATAGTATCTTGCATTTTTTTTGTTGTTGTCCAGGCTGGCCTGGATTACACTCCTTCTACTTATGCCCTTCACATAGCTGTGATGACAGGTGTGCACCACCATACCCAGCTTTTTTGTTGAGATTGGGTATCATGAACTTTTTGCCTGGGATGGTTCAAGCTGTGGTCCTCCCAATCTCCACCTCTCAAGCAGCCAGGATTACGGGCTTAAGCCACCATGCATTGCCAAGTACTTCATTTACTTAAACAGCTAGAAAGTACATGTCTGATGAACAACAAGAGTGCACTTTCCTATGTGTCTGTCTCTCCATGGTCAATGGATTAGGCTACTGTCACAGAACCACACCTTATGAGGACAAGTGGATAGTAAAAGTAAAATCAAAACACTTCTGAAAAGAGCTAAAAGAACTTCACATGTTACAAGAGGAAATTTTTTTTTTAGGGTTGGGAAACGATTTGTACAACAAAACTCTAAAAATTTAAAACCTATGTATTTTTGACACATGGACATCCATCTCCTGTCAGTAATCTGTGAAGACTATCTGCTAACGGACCTTGACACATTTCAACCCAAATCTCCCAATTTTCTAAAAATATAATTGGAAATGCCATAAGGACATCCTGTTAGAATGTAAGAAATTCAAACATCTCTTCTTGTGATGGAATCTGGCCATATATTTCTCCTATATAAACACTAGCTGAAAAATGTGAGCTAGTGCAATCTAGTGAGAGACTAGCTTCTGTCTTAGCTAGTGTTGAGAGAGGAAGCTTCTTATTGCCTGGTTTACTGTCCAGATTTTAGGCACTGGGAAGCTTCAGAATTGTATTAGATTTGTACCACTGCGAATTTAGTGGTATCAGAACCTTAGAGTTCTCTAGAAGATGATACAAGTATCACTGGACTCTAGTCAAGGTGTTGGGTGATAACAGGGCTGCATTAGTTTCTAGAGGTTCTAGGGACAACCTGTTTGTAGATTTTTTTTTAATTTAATTTTTTTGGCAGTACTGGGGTTTTGAACTCAGGACTTTGTGTTTGCTAGGCAGATGCTACCGCTTGAGCCATACCTCAGCCCTGCTTTCTCCATCTTTAAAGCTAACAGGGGCAGGTTGAGTCTTTTTCATATTCTGTCTGACCCTCTTCCATATTCTCACCTCCCTTGGACTCTCCTCTCTGCCTTCCTCTTCCACTGCTAAGGTCCTCTTCCTGGTAAAGACTCTCTAATGACATTGAGTCCACCCAGCAATCCAGTATACTCTACCTATTTAAAGGCCCAGGTGATCACAGTTTTACCTGAAACCTTATTTCCCTTGCTACTTGAGAGTCCCAGAATTAGAACATATACTTCTCTGAGATGCTGCTACTCTGCCTTCCACAGATATTAAAAAGCAAAGGCCTATCTTTCAGGAAAATGATAAATGGGGAATTTTTCTGTTGGATATGCTGAGACATAGCTTGTTTAAAAAAAAAAAACCTCAAATGCTCTTGTTAAGTAAAAATGGATTCTGAATTTCAGCTTAAGTTGTGGAACAATTTCATTATGGTGGAAGCACATAGATAAGCCAAGAGCTGGAACATTGAAACTGTTCATTATTCCTGTGATATGAGTCTATATTTGTTGGTGGAGCTCCTATAACAAAGCACCACAGACTAGGTGGTTTAAACAACAGAAATTTGTTTTCTTACAATTCTGGAAGCTAAAACTTCAACATCAAGGTTTTGGCAGGGTTGATTTCTTTTTCTTCTGAGGCCCCTGTCCTTTGTTGGTATAAGCATCTTTTCCCTATATCTTCACATGTCTTTCTGTGTGTGTCTGCGTACTCATCTTCTCAGATAAGGACACCAGTGATCTTGATTACATACAGCCTAGTCCATTGACCTAACTTAATTTTCATTTTCGCTTTAAAGATCTGGTCTCCAAAAGCAACCACATTCTGAAGTATTGGGTATAGGTTTCAACAAATGAATTTTAGGGGGAAAAATTCAACCCATGGCCATATTTAATGATTAACTTGCAAAAGACTCCACACTCATAGAGGACCATTGGTTAAAAAGACAGGAAGTGGGGCAAGCCAGGGATTCAATCTGTACACTCATTGACAGTCACTCTCAGGTAGATTTTTTTTCTACAAAACTGGTGATTTATTTTGCTTTAACATACAATGGTAAATATTTTGGGGATCATCAAATTTAAAAAATTTGCTGGGCTTCCTTTACATATTATAATACTAATGTAAGCTCTTGAGTTCTTCCATTTCAGTGAAGGACAGGGATCCAATTGACACCTGCTAGCAGCTTGGCTAAGAATGGACATTAAATTCAGACAATATGCTGAAAATATAAAGGGTTTTTTTCCTCCAAATGTGTATAAAAATTTTGAAACAAAAATCACTGCCTGTTCCACAGGACAATTTCAATTTTAAAAATGCTCCAAAGCAAAGAGTAGTACAACCCTGTGTCACAATATTTATAATACAGCTTAACAATATTTTATCAAAGACTTTTGCACTTGAGATTTAAAAAAAATCTGAAGAAGAAAAACAGTAGCCAAGGAACTGCACAAACAAAAAATGAAAATTATATAAAACATTTCCACCACTATTTAAATGTCAAATTTAAGCAATAGTAAAAAAAAACCATAATAATACAACCTTCTGTTTAAAATAACAGCACTGTTTGCCTCTTTTCCACTGAATTTTACATATGAACAGACTATATATACTGGTTTTCAGAGAAATGTCCATTTGGTCTGTTACACCAGTACCAAATCCTCTCACTGTCTTTGGAGGATACACACTCCATGCGGTCTCCAACATTCTGGGTTAGGTGCAATGTCTCAAGTATAACACATTTCTCCCTTTTCCTTTACACAGTGCAGAGTATATGGGCTTAGGTTATGAAGACTCTCTTTTACTCCAGGTCACTGTCTTTTTCTAAATTCAAGGCGGTATTCAATGGAGTGCAGTAGTTGGGCTTGTCAGAAGGTACATAGCCTGGCAGACACAGACATTTGTAGGAACCTTCGGTGTTGATGCACTTGGCATTTTTGCAGAGAGACATCCGGTTGTTCAACTCATCACATTCATTTACATCTGCAATGAGCCAAATCACACAGGTCACCAATCTGTAATATCAGCCCATGAGGAAACAGAACCTACATTCCTGGAAGCATCCTGGCTCCCTGCCTTTCTGCTGTCCACCATTCCCTGCTCCTGCCTGCTGTACAGTCTTTCCATTATTGTCTGTTTCAATCACATATAAGATAAAGAAGATGTTGTAGATCTTGAAGTTGATGATCAGGGAGGTTCTAGAACTTCTTTCTGTTTTTACTATAACATGGACATTTGTCAGCTGGACATTAATAGTGAAATGGTGAAGCAAGATGGAAGAACTATACTTTTCTAAGTTCCTTCCGAAGTTATACAAGAACATCTGGGTTTGTTGAGGGGAACTGAACACACAGCAGAGAGCTCTGGGAGCTGCCTCCTGTGAGCCTCAAGTTGTGTTCTTGGCTTTCATTCCACGCAAGACCCATTTAGACTCTCACATGCTAGGAACACTCGTGAGAACCAGGCCACCTATTTTCCAGACCCACCACAGACTAAGACTCACAAAACCAAAGTGGGCAAAGGGACTGCTATAGCAGGGAGAAGAAAAATAGCAAAACAAACAAACAAACAAAAACCCCATTAAGTCAAGGGTTCTTTAGCAAAGAGGCCATGCTGAGTCACACAGAGCAGGTGACATAGGTGTTCACTCTTCATCTAAGCAGGAGGCAGTGTGAAAGATGGTTTTAGGAGGAGGTTTACCCAAAATGGTTACCATGGAAGCTGTATGGTTTTCAGATGTCTACACTGCTTTATGCTTGTGTCACATACTCAGAGATAACATTCCTTGCTGCACAGTCAAAATCTAAATTTAAAAGTAATCGTGGCACATTCTGGTCTTTCTTCCACAGTTACCATGATTTATACATTTTTTTCTGGCAGTACTGGGGTTTGAACTCAGGACCTCACGCTTACTAGATAGGCACTCCTACTTGAGCCACTCCACCAACCCACACTGTCTAGATTCTTAAATAAGCCATTAACTTTTATGTTTAGTTGTGGTTAAAAAAAACCAAAACAGAACACAAAATTGAACATCTTAGTTATTTTTAAGTGTATAGTACTGTGATATTAAGTACAATTCTATTTAATGTATATATATGTGCATATATATACACACACATATACACTAAGTGTATATATACCACATAAATATATACATTAAGTGTGTGTGTGTGTATACATTAAGTACACATACATACATTAACTCAGGGCTTTGCATTCTGGTGTGCACTCTACACTGAGTTATACCCCAAACCTTTAATGAATTATTTCCAGAACTTGTCACATCTTCCCACACATTGGTACCTAGCCACAGACACACAGGATCTGAGGAAAAGAATCTCATTCTTACCAACACAAGTCATCTTGGCCATATCCAAGTGATACCCATCAAAGCAATCACAGGTGTAACCTTCCTGGACCCTCACACAGCGGCCATTCTCACATCCGTTGAGGATACCACATTCCTCAGCCTGTAACTCCTCAAAGCTGTTTAAGAAACCTGGAAGGGAAAAGGCAGGGGCTAAGTCACAGAAGTTTACCCCCTATGCTGTTTAAGACTATTTTGCACAGGGCATAGTGGGACATGCCTGTAATCCCAGCACTTAGGAGGATGAGACAGGAGGATCATGAGTTCAAGGCCAGACAGTAAGATTGCCTCACAAAAATCCCAAAATACCCCAAATCAAACAGAAACTATGTTATTAAGGTTATGGTTCATTATATAATGTACATATGCATTTATATATGCTTATAATATATATGTACACACATATATCATGTATATATTATATATATAAATAATATATGAATGATATAATTCAGGTACTGTATGTCTAGCATTAGAATCTAAGTTAATACCAAATATACCTATATCTTATATTAAAAGTCCCATAAAATGAGTCTTATATTAAAAATTCCATAAAATGAGAGAGCAAATATGGGTTTTGGTTTTACTCTTTTTTTTTTTTTTGTCAATTCTGGGGTTCAAACTCAGGGTCTCACACTTACTAGGCAAGTGCTCTACCACTTCTACCTCTTGAACCACTCTGCCAGCCTTTTTTTGTGATAGATTTTTTTGAGATAGGGTCTCACAAACTATTTGCCCAGGCTGGCTTCAAACTGCGATTCTCCTGATCTCCGCCTCCTGAATAGCTAGGATTACAGGTATGAGCCACCTGCACCCAGCTTGGTTTTGCTCTTAATTATGAAAAGTATTCATTTAAACTTCCACATTTCCTGAGTTGTCAGAAAATCGAGACAGAATCAATGGAATCACAATCAGAGATCAGTGGGCCTTTGCTCAGGGTCCCTGAGAGTTTTGACAGTATGCTTTTACAGCGAGAGTTGGGGAGACCAGGAAAAAACCCACCTGACTGTGTCCTGTGAAGTCTGTTTGCTCTGGCTTTGGAATGAGCCTTACACAGGGGATCAAAGGATAAAGGCAGTAAAAGGGACTCAAAACATCCTGATAAATGAGAAAGTACATCAGACTTGTGTTTAGAAAACCAAAAGGCTTTTTTTTTTTTTTTTTTTGTACGGAAACCAAGGAAGTCTTGTTTGGCTCTTTTTACAGTTTAGGAACTGGTTTTGAATGTTTGACACCATGTAGAGTTTTAATGCTATATAAACAGTGAAAGCAGGCATAGGGAACATTTAGTTGTCTTTCTAAAGAAAGTGCCTTGTCACATGTCCTTTCCCCAAGGCATCACAAATTGACATCAAAAATTAAAAATGCTGTGTTTACTTTCTGCCTTATCTGGCCTTTGAAATAATTCTCCAGTAGAACTGCAAGGGGCAGTAAATGTCATTGCTATGTAGGACCCTCAGTTCTTAAAGATCGAGTACCAGTTTTCTAAAGAGGGAGAGCATGCTCCATGAAACTTGTCTCCACCATGGAAGAATCCCTGACCCAAATTTCTTCTAAGAAAAAAATATGAAATTTCAATTTTTCAGGGCAACAGTAGCCACAAATTATGGTCATTACTTGTGCAAATTTATATGTTCTTCCTCTGATGCACCATAATCTTTATAAAACAGACAAAATGGCAAACAATTGACTTGAATACTTTCCATTCATTCCTAGTAGAGGGAGATAAATTAATTATTGAGATGGAAAAGAGCATCAGAATGACAAGCATTTAGCCACTGTCTTCCAAGAGGGAATCTGTCATCTATCTATCTATCTATCTATCATCTATCTATCTATCTATCTATCAGTCTACCTACCTATCTATCTCATGTAGGATAGCATTTGAAATAACATGTAGAGAACTAAAGGCTTCTATGAATTTTAAAGATTCTCTCATTGTTTTAAAAAACCTCTAGTTGCATGTTTTTGCCTTTGCCTTTTTTTAAAACCTTTGCTCTTTTTCTTGGAGAGAAAGAAAATAGAAGAATTTTTTTTTAAAAATTGAGTACCACATCTATGATTGCCCTTGTCAGAATTTTAAAGGGAAAATAAGTATTATAGACCATCAAGAATAAGACAGCCACTTTCATAAATAACTTAAGAAAATAAAGTCTTGATCTATGAAAATATTGCAAGGATTCCAAGATGGCGACTAGAGGGAGGAAGCAGAAAGCGTGCTTCCTAAAGTAAAATCTTGGAGAGATGATGGAGATACACCTTGCAGGAAAAACCACCAAGAAGAGGTAAACTCCAACACTGCCACACCCCCAGCCCGCACATAGCATCTCCACTCCACATTAAATGGAGAAACCAGGAGGGCTCTTGTGCCACCAGATGCCAGAACCTAACCGGCTTGGGAGAAGCAGACCACCAGGTGAGCTAAGCGGCACTCGGTACTCCCACAGACAACCCTGGGCCAGATCAGCATAGCCCCCTGGACAGACTGACCCCCACCCAGGGAAAAAAGAAAAAAACAAACTGAATAATAAACAATAACAATAAAAAAGACACGTAGCAAAGAGGGCAGGGCACCCTGAGCACCGAAGAGGGGGGAAGGAGCAATCCCTCACAGAACTATAAATAAACAATCCGGCTGGAGAAGGCAGGAGCAGCAGCATCTGCCCAGCAACCAGGAGCAGGAAAGCTTGTAAAAGTGGTGGTGGGAGGAAAACTCCACAGGAGACGGGGGAAGACCCACTTCCCACCTGAACTGTAAATAAACACACAGGCCTGAGAAAGCGGGTGTAGCGCCACCTCCCCCAGTGTGCTTGGAAAGGGGAAAGCTTGTAGCAGTGGTGGCCGTGCCCAGGAGAACTCTGAGTAAACAAAGCCTGTGGGGCCAGGTGAGTGTTAAGCTCACTCCTGAGATCTGCAATCAATAAAGCCTGCAGCAACAGCAGGCTGACAGCAGCAGACAGGTAAGCCACAGCCTCAGACAAAAATTCACAAAGCTGTCTCCAGACTCTTTTTTTTTTTCCTCTTCCTTTGATGAGACAACAACCCAACTACAACTACATGCTGGAAAACTTACTGAAACTGTATTGCATTTGAACTTGGGATACTTTGTTGTGTTTTGGTTTTTTTCCTTTTGATGAGATGACAGAACTACTTCTGAAACAAAATCTCCATGATTGGAGGCTGAGGGACTAACACCAAAATTAGTAAGACTGAAACTTTATTGCATTTGGACTTGGAGATTTTTAAAATTATTTATTTATTTATTTATTTATTTTTATCCTCTGTCTCTATAATGCCTGTTTAGCTTACTGTTGATTAGTACACTATCTCTCCCTGTTTATATATTTGACACAGTTTTTTGTTTGTTTTGTTTTCTTTACTTGTTTATTTGTTTTTCCCTTTTTCTTTACCTTCTTTGCTTTCCCTCTCCTCTCACCCTTCCATTTTAAAAATCACCATTGTTATTATTACAAGCTAGAATATACTTAATTGCACACAGTACAGGGACAGTAACAATACCAAGTGCAATGATGGGAAGACAGAAAAAACAGGGAAACCAGTTTCCCCACAGCAAAAAATTAGTACAGGAACCAGAGGGAAATGAAGAAAACAGATACTCAGATCCAGACTCCAACAAAACGAAGACAAACTATGCCAAAGAACCCAATAAAGCCCATAAGAATAATCTGAAAGATGAAATCCTCCAAGTAATAAATGAGAATTTATAGAGATGATACTGGATATGGTCAACCAAAATGTACAGGAGACACTCAAGAAATTCCAAGACAACAAAAATAGAGAATTTGAGAAAGCACAAGAAGAAATAAAAGAAACCACAGAAGCACTATATAAACACCAAAGTGAAACAAAGAACATGATTAATGAACTCAGGGTGAAAATAGACAACATTAAAGAGGAAATGACTCAGGATATGGAAAACCTCAGAAAAAAGAACAAAACAGAACTGCAAAACAAAATGGAAGGCCAATCCAGCAGAATAGAACAAACAGAAGACAGAGTCTCAGAACTCAAAGATGAAATGGTAATTAAAGGAAAAACTGAAGAACTACTAATTAAACAATTCAAGAGCTGTGAAAAGAAAATGCAAGAACTCACCGACTCCATCAAAAGACCAAACCTGAGAATCATGGGCATTGAAAAAGGAGAAGAGGTGCAAGCAAAGGGAATGTGTAATATATTCAACAAAATAATAACAGAAAATTTCCAAAATCTAGAAAAATCTATGCCCATACAGATGCAAGAGGCCTCCAGAACACCAAACAGACCAGACCAAAATAGAACTACCCCACGGCATATTATCATTAAAACAACAAATACAGAGACTTGAGAAAGAATATTGAAGGCTGTAAGAGAGAAAAAACAACATACAAAGGTAAACCCACCAAAATCACTGCAGACTTCTCAACAGAAACATTAAAAGCAAGAAGAACTTGGGGTGAGATCTTCTGGGCACTGAATGAAAATACCTTCAACCCTAGGATACTCTACCCAGCAAAACTATCATTCAAAACAGATGGAGCAATAAAAGTCTTCCATGATAAGCAGAAACTGAAACAATATGTGACCACAAAGCCACCACTACAAAAGCTTCTTCAAGGGATTCTGCACACAGAAAGTGAAACCCAACTTAACCATGGAAGAAAAGAAAAAGCAAGAAAGTAGAGAGTAAACTCAACTTAGGTACACACAATCAAACCTTCAAACAACTAAGACAACTAAATGACAGGAATCACCACATACCTATCAGTACTAACAATTAATGTTAATGGACTTAATTCACCCATCAAAAGGCACCATTTGACGAACTGTATTAAAAAGGAAGATCCAACAATTTGTTGCTTACAGGAGACCCATCTCACTGACAGAAGGAAGCATAGGCTAAGGATGAAAGGCTGGAAGAAGATTTACCAAGGCAATGACCCCTGAAAACAGGCAGGAGTAGCAATACTTATCTCTGACAAAGTAGACTTCAAACCTACATTGATCAAATGAGATAAAGGAGGACATTCCATACTAATAAAAGGGGAAATAGACCAAAAGGAAATAACAATTATCAATCTATATGCACCCAATGACAATGTACCCAATTTCATCAAACATACCCTGAAGGA